TTTATGGTTTTTATATTTATAAGGTGCACTGGGGATGGCATTTAATTTCGTTGTACGAGGTACAATGACAATAAAGTTTACAAACAAACAAACAAAACTGAACCTTCTGTGTGGTCTTTATAGGCAGCCCAATGTGGAGAAATTGCAGTCTTCTCAATATCACAACATCCCAAAAGCTGAACAAATGTGCCCAAGTACATTGCAGGAAATGGAAACAGTAGGCCATGTACTACTCTGTTGCCAATTTTATACAGGTCTTTAAAATAATTTAATAAAAATCACTCATTGCTATATACCCTGGTAGGTCAGAGACAGAATAAGTGAATCTATCTATGTGGTTGGTAGGAGTAAAAAAGGACTTGATGGCACTTAATCCATTATTGGATTGTCAACTTCAGTATGTAAGAAAGGAAGTCACAAAAGTTTTTCTCAGCTATCATTTACAAACAAAAAAAAATTGCTGAAAAAAATCTTATTTTGTTTTGCAATTATTTTTCCTTTTAAATCATTATCCTTTTTTTCTCTGTTTAAATGTGGCTTTTATTTTTAAGGGTCGTCTTTGACCATAACTAAAAAAGGATTGATTGAAATCCTTGTAACCTTGGACACTAAGTACCTTTCTGACTAAGTCTGCCCCATCTTTAGTTCCCTTATATGTTCATTTTGTTCAACCATCCATTGTGTCTGCCTCATCATGAAAAATAAATCTGGTAATAATCAGATTGATGGTAGTGCTTCGGGGTTGAAGAAGACACACTGTTGTACAGCTCATCTGTGGACACAGAGGTGGCTCTGCAGTCCCAGTCTGGAAGTGCAGAGTCTAGCACAATGGGAGCACTGAAAGTCCATTGTTGTAGTAACTGTGGGTATTATTCTATGATGCTGCTCATGGTTTTCTATCAGTTTTTGGCGGCACCTGTCTCCAAAGCCGGTGGAGGCTTCATAGCACCAGGCTCACCAGTGGGTTCTGTCAGCAGCCACAACTTCTAGTTCCTTTGGCTGGATGTCACAGGGTCTTTGTAACACTTGCATGGTTGACCTCAAGGTCTCTTCCCAGACTCCAGTACCCTACAGAGCAACTGGTGAGGCATACAGTAGTCATCCATTCTGATGACATGTCCCACCCACTGCATCTGGGCTCTGATAATCAGTGACTCAATGCTAGTGGACTCTGCACGTTCCAAGACCTCCAGGTTGGAGACACGGTCTTGCCAATGAACACCAAAGATGAAGCAGAGAGTGCACATGTGAAATTTCTCCAGTTGTTTGAAGTGCTTTCAGTACAGAGTCCAGGACTCACATCCATTCAGGAGAGAAGGGATAACCGCAGCTCTGTAGACTTTCAGCTTTGTGGAGATATGGATGTTGTGTTGGTTGAGCACTCTAGTACATAGCCGCTCCAGAGCCTGGCTGGTTTTGCTGATCCTGGAGTCAATTTCTTTGGGCAAAGACCTGTTGCTTGAGATGATGCTTCCCAAGTATTTGAAGCTGTTTACATTTGTCAGCTGGGTCATCAACAGTGGTTTTTGGTTCTACAGGGTTGGTATTTGGCATTGGCTGGTAAAGTACTTCAGTCTTGTTCAGGCTGACAGTCAGGCTGAAGAGCATAGCAGCGCCTGAGAATTTGTTCAGCATCAACTGTAGATGGTAGATCAACTGTCTTTGTGCACAAGGAGTGCACAGTCATCAGTAAAGAGAGTTTCTTGAATGACTGTATGGAGGCACTTTGTCCATGCGTTCAAGCAATGAAAGTCAAAGAGAGAGCCATCCAGTTGATACCTGATGTACACTCCCTCCTTTAGACCCTGGACAGCACATGACAACAAGCAAGCAAGAACAGATTGGACAGGACTGTGGCTAGTAAACAACTCTGCTTCACCCCATTGGAAATGGCAAATGCAGTTGATGTACCACCGTTGTAAAGAACCTGTCCTGTCATTCCATCATGGAGTAGCTGAATCAACTTCACAAATTTCCTCAGACATCCATAATGTCTCAGGATGATCCAGTGAGCCTCCCTGTTTACAGTGTCAAATGCAGAGTAAAGACAGAATAAAGAGGTTTGTTCTGCTCGATGCACTTTTCCTGGACTTGCCTCATGGCAAATATCAAGTCTGCTGTACTCGGTTCTGGCTGAAAGCCACACTGCATCTCTGGGAGGTTCCTTTCTGAGACAGTGACAGGTCTGTTCAGGAGAATGTGGGCAAAAATCTTGCCTGTGATGGGTAGCAGTAAGATATCCCTGTAGTTTCCACAGTCTGATTTACTTCCCTTATTTTTGTAGGGATCTTAAATGAGGGCATCGTGGAAGTCATCAGGCATCTCCTCTGTGGACCAAATGTCTTGCAAGATGTCTTGGAATACCTGTAAGGCTTTTGGGTCTAGTGCTTTGTAGATCTCAGCAGGAATGCCATCCTGCCCTGTTGCTTTATTTGAGTTCATCTGCAGGATTGCTTTCTCAGCAGGAATGCCATCCTGCCCTGTTGCTTTATTTGAGTTCATCTGCAGGATTGCTTTCTCAGCAGGAATGCCATCCTGCCCTGTTGCTTTATTTGAGTTCATCTGCAGGATTGCTTTCTTGATCTCATCAGTAGAGTGAGGCAGTCTAGGGCATCCAAGACTGTCAGCTGAGGAATCTCCTATAAGACATCATGATCAACTGTGGACGGGCTATTGAGTAGGTTGGAAAACTGTTCAGCCCAGTGGTTTTTCAGTCCTTCCTGGTCTTTCATCAGGCTCGACCCATTAGATGACAGCAATGGGGAGCATCCTGATATAGAAGGGCCATAAACTCACTTTATGAAGCTGAAGAACTTTCTGGTGGCATGCATGTCTGCACAGTGTTCAACGTGCTCAGCCTTTCTCTGCCACCACTCATCCTGCATTTCTCGCAGTTCCACCTGTACTTTAGACTGCAGGTGCTTAAACTTGTCTTTCTTTGAGACAGATGATGGATTGTTCTGCCAATCTTCATAGGCCTTGTTCTTGACCTGGAGGGCTGCTGAAATGGTCTCATGGTTTTCATCAAACCATTCTTGATGTGCCCGGGTTTTCAATCTGAGTACAGTTGTTGCAGTCTGCGTGATGACATCCTTAAACTGCATCCATTTTTCTGAACAGGTTCCTACAAGCGGTAAATTGCTGGAGAATTTTTCATTAAGTACATCTAGGAAACATTGGACTTTGCCTGGGTCTTGCAGTCTGCCAGTGTTGAATGACTTTCTGACAGTCCTTGGTTGCTTACGACATAAAGGGGCTGTGTGCCAGTTGAGGACAGACCAGACCAGCCTGTGATCTGTCCAGCACTCAGCACCTTGCATGGCTCTGGTGATGGGGACATCTTTAAGATCACGCTGATGTACTATGACATAGTCAAGTAGGTGCCAGCGTTTAGAGCTGGGATCCATCCAAGTTGTTTTGTACTTGTTTGCAAGCCTGAACATTGTGTTGGTGATGCACAGGTTGTACTTGGCACATTTGCTCAGAAGCACAGGCCTTTGCTATTTAGTTTTCCCACCCCATATCTCCTAAGGACTCTGTCCCAGTTGTCGCTGTCTGTCCCCACCCTAGCATTGAAGTTGCCCAGAATGACGAGTTTGTCCCTGGTGGGGGTTGTTCAAATAATCTGGTCCAGGTCCTCATAGAAACGTCTTCTTTGTCTGGACTCAGGTGAGTTGATGCAAAGGTGCTGACAATAGTGATGTACTGGGGCTTGCTGAGAGGAAAGTAGAACTTCATAATGCATTAATTTATTCCAGCGGGTAGAGTAGAGATGTTCTTCAGCAGAACAGTTTTGATTGCAAAACCTACTCCGTGAGTCCTGTTGTCAATCTGTGGTTTCCCTTTCCAAAAAAAATGTATATCCACTCGCTGCTTCCTGTAATGAATCCTCATCTGCAATCCTGGGCTCACTGAGTGCAGCAATGTCAATGCTATAATGGCAAAGTTCAGCTGCTATGAGTGCTGTTCGTCTTTCATCTTGTTGACACCTTGGCATCTTGTTTCTATCCAGCAAGGTGCAGATATTCCAGGCTCTGAAAATGAGTTTTCTTTGATTAATTTTTCTTGATGCTCAACCACTAAGGAGATGATCTAACAGCCGTGATTAGCTAGCCCAAATGTGTGGGGTAGGTAATGCTTAGGGTACCTTTTCTAGCCCCCTCCCTCATGCAAGGGTGGGCAGCGCTATCCTAGAAAGGGCTGCCCAGTCACCCTGGATGCTGCCAGACATCTCTGCTGCCCTGGGTACTGAGACAAATGACCACAGGTCCAAGGGCTGCCCATGTGCAGGTTTGTGACTACAACTTCCAGTGGTGATCTCTACCCATTGTTTCACCACTCACCCATCACTGCAGGGCTCAATGAATTAGATTGGGACTGAGGTGAATTGCACCTTCATCAAATAGATGAAGATGAATTGTACAACAGAAACCTGTGTGTGATGGAGTTTTAAGTGGAGCAGCCGTTGCACAGGGGCAGTCCCACTCTCTCAGCAGAAGAGGCCTTAATCCAATGGCACAGAAAACCATTATGACTGGTCCTCTCCTGCTGCAGTGGATGACCAGGACACCTAAGTGTCTTGTGCTCTTAGCACTCCACAACACCTGCTGAGCCTGCCTTTTTGACCATTGGACCATTGATCAGTCTCCTCTGCTCAGTCTACCAGGGCCAGACTTCACACACTGTGATAGATAAATCCCCTGTCTCAGCGAGGGTCGAAGACCCATTGGCTGCCCCACCTGGTTTGCCTTCTCTGCTAAGACAGTTTACCAGAGTATGGCCACTGCACTTGTTACAGGTACTTGGAGCCACAGGTGAGAGCTGAGTGCCAGGTGGAGACCAGAAGTGAATGAGCAACCCTAAAAAAGCTCAGCAGGCCCCTCCACCAGAGGTGCTACCCCTCCCTGGCCACCCACACACCCCTAATAACCAGAACAACAGAGTAAAATCATATGGCAGTATCTCAAAACAACAGCTGGAGGTGGGATGAACATAAATGATAGGAAAGTGGTTTACAAGCTAACAGAAGACAACAGGCTGACTGCTGCTGGAAACATAATGCTCGATGGTTACCATTATATTGCTTTATCTCCCAAATTGTTTGGTACATAAGCCAATTGCACAGAAAGTAACTGTTTGTTAGAAGAGCAGCAATTTCATATTTGTGTTCTCTAAGCTTCTTGGTTGGAATTTGATGTATTATTAAACTCTAAGGTTAATTTCCCATCATCCTAATTGCCTGACATTTATTCTACAATTTCCACACCAAAATAATTCAATGCAAATCTTTTACACAGATTATTTTCATATATGACTCTACACCAGTTGGAAAGCAGATCCAAACCTCTGTAATCCCATGAGGCTGGCTCCATTCAGGGACTGAACCAATTTATTTCTAAAACACAAATATTTGAATTTTCAGTAAAACAATTATCTTTTGGTGGGAAAAACAGCACAGCTCTGTGACATTTTCTCATTTACAGGATCTTGTGCCTCACCCTGGCTCCTGTACTTTCAGATATTTCAAAGAGAAAGGAAACTAGCTATCTTAGTGTCTCTCCTTCAGGACTGCTGAGTTCTTTTGCATAAATGCACACAGTATGAATAGAGGAGATGAGCCGAGAGCGTGAGTTTCATTTTTCTTTTATTTATTAAGTACGCCTTACATTTACTCAGGGCTGGGCAGAGATTTTTGCACCATAATCCTGGCACTTCAAGTTTGTCAGGTTTGAAGATAATTGTGGAATGTCTTGGAACAGCTTTTGAGAACAAAAGAGGTGGCAGAATTCAAGTATAAGTATATACATAATTTCCTTTTAATCTAATGAAACTCAACCAGTTCTTACTTGAGTGCATTTAGAGTAATGTTTTGATTGGTCTTATAGTTACCCAGCATTATGTGAACAGAGGCATACGTATGGTGCAAAAAAGTCTGCTTATGCACTGCATTAAGCTATCATGTGATTTGTTTTGGTTTTGCCTGTTGTATAAACTTCTCCATTGTAGATGTAAACCATGGTTTAAAGCATAGGACAGTATGTTGTGCAAACCCAGTCAATTTTGGCTTAGTCAATAAAATATGGCCAAGCATAATATGATGTAGCCACCCATCTATTCCAGATGTGACTCAACATTTCTTCAGTGAGTCTGTGTCCAGCTCTGGTATGCCTTGTCTTGAGATGTGGACAGGAATCACAGTCATCATGAAACTTCCACTATATCTAGGCTGGAGGACTTGAAGGCAAATCCTCTAGCCTCTGTAGAAGTAATGTAATATACATTTTTGCGGGGGGTGAGGGTCCTTCCTTCTTCTCAACTTTGCTTTTGCAATTGATAATTGTTCACATTAATTCCAACAAGTTGCAGTACTGGTTTAATTTGGGTTAAGCTCCACCAAAGATCATTTACTCACAACATGCGGGTTTATACAGTCAGAGGAAGGACTGCCAGGAAGAAATTAGAGGAGTAAAATAGGCTATTAGACCGAGGTTGATAAATCCAGACGACTAGGAGATGGCAGCAAGGATTTGAGAGTTTCCTAACTCCAGCAGGTTGTCCGGATTTTTTGCGATCCGGATCTGGCAGCCCCATCTGGGGTGGCGCTCAGGAGCCATTCCATTCTCGGAGAATTTAAACAAGCTTGCTACTTTATTATTAAATAAATGTTATGATGCAATAATGCATGTTTTGTTCAACAACTCACATCTTTTAAAGATGTGACTTAATCTCCCAACGGTAATCGGAGCTCTTCCTTCTTCTGTTTTTCACGTGTGCGCTCATTTTTCATTTGGACTTAAATATATACTATATGCAAGCTTCTGCAGCTGTTAATTAGGCTCCCCCGCCCCGATTCCCTGTCGGCAACCGCCGCCAAAGCCCCCCCCCACTGAAGGCCGCCACGGCTCCGCCACCTGCTGCAGAGATGGTCCACTCGCTCCGCCCATCCACAATCTGAGCGACCGTCCCAACATGGCGGACAGGAAGGCTCCCTTAACGCCCGAGGAGAATGCCGGAACGGTTGTCGACCTTCTAGACGTGGGGGAGGCCCGGCCTTCCTCCATGGCGCCTCCCCGTCTTCCCCGCCTCCTGGCGGGTGTGGCCCGCCGGGTACAGAGCAGAGGCGGCCCTGGCGGCGAGGCGGCCGCCGCTGTGGGCGACATGTGGCGAGCGAGGAGGGCGGCTGGAGTTTTGTTTCATGCGGTCCTGGCGGCTCTGGTGCTGCTGGGCGCCCGGGACGTGTTCTTTCAGTATGAGGAGAACCGGTGCAGCATGACCTACATGTTCGAGTACCCCGAGTACCTGGTGAGTGGCTGGCCGGACGGGCGGCGGCGTGCTACAAGGTGGCCGTTTTGCCTCTCCTCCGCGCGTTCCCTCCGAGAGGCTTCTTTCGCGGGGCGAGCACAGACGTGCCTCCTCTGAGGGAGTTGCTGAGAAACTTGGTCTCCGGCGAGACGGCGCGGGGTTGCAGTCTGGCAACTCCATGGAGGCTCCTCTCTGCCTTTGCCTTCTGCCCTCCGGCGGCGCTTACAAACGAGCCCTTTTCCGCGCCTGGCTCTCCCTGGGCTTGGTTCATTTCACTCCACAGGCGCCCATCTATCTGATGTGTGTTATCTTCCTCTTTTTCAGAGCCTGGTTCAGTGGGAGCCTCCCAGGGTTCAAGCACCTATATTAGGTGCCTAGAGCAGCGGCTCTCAAAGTGTGGTCTGGGGACTCCGAGGTTTCCGAGACCCTTTCGGGGGGTCCGTGAAGTCAAATATTTTAAAATTTCTCAGTTTCGATTCCTAATACAGTCAATATCAATAGATATAACCCACAGAAACCAAAGTTCTTTGGGGTCCTCATTTTTTTTTTTTAAGAATGTAAAGGGGTCCAGAAACCAAAACGTTTGAGCACTGCTGTCCTAGAGGAATAAAATCGTCAGTAAATTGCTTCTCTGTCGTAACTATGAAAAGACAGCTGAAGTCACCCTTCTTAGAGAATGTGTTTTTCATGTTGCTTGGAACTTGGATCTAAGGAGTCAGGGTCTGTAAGTCCATGCAATCACCCAAAAGTCAAAGCTCCATTGGTCCTTTTTATCCCACTAGAAAGTGGCCAGTGCATTTACTGCTCAGTAATTGCTTGATAGTGAGAGAACATGGTTGTTCAACAGTAAGGTTTCATTGGATTCATATCAATATTACAAAATATTTCTCTGTGAATGTTGATACTGCTTTTCTTTTTCCTTGAAAAAAGTACTATTTCCTCTTTTGGCTTTCTAGTTCTCAAAGTGTTCTCCTATCATTATCAGGCGGTTCCTGATGATAGCAAAGATGAATAAATGCAGTAGTGTTCAATCTTTTCAAAAGCAGAATAGGTCATTTTTATCTTGAAAAGATTTGCACTGGACCTTTTCCCTTCTGTCAGCTTTTCCCCTCTTCCTTTTAAAGATGGCTATGATGTCAGCAGTTTGACCACTTATGGATAATGCTATGCATCATTTGCGTACCAAAACCAATGAAGACAAGTATCAAAATATGGGATGATAAGACAGGAAGAGCAAAGCAGAAGCTCCTGGAACTCTTTTTCTTCAATATCATTCTCTTTTCATATGGTTGTTTTAACCATAGGAAGTGAAGCGCTTACTTCATCTCCATAATTATAATACCTGTTATTCAGAAATGCTTTTTATCTATCTTGAATTAGGTCTCTAATTCTTTATATAGCATATGGGGCAAGAAAAAAGCTGGAGTTTTTCATCTTTTTTTGCTTCCCATTTGTTTATTTAAAATATCCTTCATCTACAAAAAATTGATCCTAGTGTAGGGTACAAAGGTAAGATGACCATTAATAGAGTAAAACATTAAACCAAAAAATTATATAATAAATCCCAGTTTGTGAATGCAGGACCTCCCCCCCCCCAAACATTGTAGTAATTTGCCCCTGAAAAAATACAGATTTGGCTCCCAGAAATGTGCCTTGGACAGCATTCTGATTTTATAATTAATTTTTCTTACTAAAGGCTCTCAGAGATGGCCCTTATCCAGTGTTTATAATAAATAGGCAGGTTGATGTGGGAAGAAGTGGTATATGAGGTCTTTGGATCCTGAGGTGGTCAACATTGAGCTACCACAGAATATACAACCTTGCTTTTCTAAAAACGTGTCCTTTCTGAGATGCCTTAAGGACTTTAATTCTAAGCTTCAAAGTGCAGGTTACTTTGAATATGATGTCTCACATTAATTTCTTACTGATGCCTCTAATGAACAAGGAACTTGGGACATATGCTTCATATGAACTCTAGTAATAAAACTACTGCACTTGAAGTTTTTGTGGAAAGCATTCTGAAATATGTTATCTTCAGGGTAATACAAGGGACTGATACCACAATTTTTTACAGGACTATTCAGTAGTAATAGTTTCAGTGAGGCTTGTTCCAGGCAAATGGGTATAGGTCTATAGGCCCTTGCCATATTTATATGTATGATATACCATATGGTACAGCTTCCTGGTAATATAGGTCTATAATATGATGATCTAAAACATCAGATTTTTAAGACAATACAATGAGAGAGAGAATATTAAATGACTTTAGAGAAAGATACCCACAATGTTCTGCAGATGACTTAAATTGGATGTAGGAAGCTACTGTGGGCTAAGTTTGTTAAGTACAATAATAGCTAGTTTAATGTACAGTGGGTGTGGGAATGTCAGCTATAAGTACTAGGGTTTTTGCAGCAAATTTAACAGGAAGGAAAACTACTGGTTATCTTATGATTTGTTGATTTGGTTTCTGTCAGCTTAAAAAAGCCTATTGTATTTCTAAAATACTTTGGGTGCCCTAAAATTAAGTAAAAGGTACAAGATATTTAAATATTAAGAGTTAATAGGGCTATGCAATAATCCAGATTTGAGAAGGAAAAGGTGATAAGAAAGCTGCAGGGACTAGTCCTGGCAGTCACAAAAAAAATGTTGGCACCTCCTGAAATCACATGGTTCTTTTTCTGTGATCCCACAGCAGAAAAGATGTAGATTCTTTAAGGGAATGCTCACAGGCAAGACATGGTTGCCCATATGTTCTCCAAGACTCTTTCCTCTTTAAATCCAAATTGCTACAGAACTTGTAAGAGTTAATCCTTGAATTTAAAATAATTAGAATTTGTCAAGCAAAAGTTTGGTTTAGAAAGAAAATATTTGGCACACTTTCAAGTGTAAAACGTATGTAGGAAACTTCTATTGAACGAGTCATTTGGATATAGAAACTTCATATTAGAGCTTCAAAACTCACTTTCTGAATATCAGTACTCCATTTCCAATAAAAGATGTCAGCATTCAAACCTGCCCCTCCAAGTCCTGCTATGCTGCCTCATCATGGTGGTGGTGGGTGTTCCTGGGAAGGGCAAGAGAAGAGCACCGTGAACACATGGCAAGGGTATATAATCCCAGCAGGATCACCCAGGGTGTGAAGGTCACTCTACCTGCCCAGCTAAAGTAAGCAGGCACCTACATTGAGCAGCAGTGATATAAGAAGATGCTGGAGGTGGGTGATCACTTCGGTGACAACAGCAAAGGCATCATTTCATACTATGCAGGAGAAGACAATGGTAAACTACTCCAGTAGAGGTAGTCCTCAATTTACGACCATAGTTGGGACTGGAACTTCTGTTGCTAAGTGATGTGGTCATTAAGTGAGTTGCGTCCAATTTTATGACCTTTTTTGCCAGAGTCGTTAAGTGAATCTGGCTTCCCCCATTGACTTTGCTTGTCAAAAGCCTGGGAATGTTACAAATGGCAATCACATGTCCCCAGGACGCTGCAAGAGTCATAAATACATGCCAGTTGCCAAGTCCCCAAATTTCGATCATGTGATCACAGGGATGCTGCGATGGTCTTAAGTGTGAGGACCAGTTGTAAGCCACTTTTTTCAGTGCTGTCGTAACCTTGAATGCTCATTAAACAGATGGCCATAAGTCAAGGACTACCTGTATTTTACCAAGGCAACTACATGGATAGACAATATAAAGTGATTGATGATATAGTACTGGATGATGGGCACCTCAGGTCAGATGGCACTCATCATGATACTGAGGAAGTGTTGAGAATCTTACAGAGTACTAATGGTGTTTATGATGTGGCTAGATTAAAGCCTTTGGGACATCTGGTTGCTGATGTTGCCATGCAGGAAAAGAAAATCTAAGGCTGCTAAGAGAATTACAGTGGGAATATGGAATGTAAAAAGCATGATCATGGGAAAGAACAACACAGTGAGAGATAAAATGAATCGAGTACAGATTGACGTCTTAGCCATCACTATATTGAGATGGACTGGAATTGGACACTTTCAGTCAGAAGATTGTATTTATTATTCAGGACTTGAAAAATAAGGAACAGCACTGATTTCATAATCAGGAAGGATATAGGAAGAAAGTACTTGACTAATGCAATTAGTGACTGAATAATATCAATTAGATTTTATGGTCTGAAAATTTAATTTGTTTGAAATTGACAGAACATGGAAGCAAAGTGTGCTGGTTGTAGCTGGAGACTGGAATGCCAAAGTTGGAAATATTAAGGTGAAAAATGTAGTTGGACTGGATGGGCTAGAAAATGGAAATGAAACATGAGAATAACTTATCAATTTCTGCCAATCCAGTTATTTCTTCATTTTTAATATAGTTTTTAAACAGTCAAAATGCCTCTATACATGGACTTCACTAGATGGAGTACCCAGAAATCAAATTGACTATATTATTGGTATAAAGAGGTAGAATTGTTCAGTTATAACAGCAAACACATGACCAGGGGTTGACTGTAGAATAGATAATGCGCAAGTTCCAAGTTAAGCTAAAATGGAAAAAGAAAGCCAGCCAGTTTCCATTATATGATCTTAAGCATATGCCCACCATTTTCTTTTTTTTAATAATGATTTTATTAAACATTACAATTAAAATGATAAAAACTAATGCAAACTAAAAAAATAAAAGAATTTAAAAAATAGAAAGTGCAGAAAAGAAGAAAAATAGAAAAATAGAAAAAGAAAAAGAATATAGTAAAGAAAAAGAAAAGAAATATATAAAGTGTCTTCCCCCATCATCACAACAAGTATAAACAATTTTAATAACTTATCACCTTCTCTTAAAATACACAAATAATCTCATCTCTTATATATAAACAAATCTTTAAAGCCTTGTCATTCAGTCCTGGCCAGCAAAGTCCATTAAGGGTTACAAGAGGTAACATATTCTCTTAACCTTGATCAAATAGACCAACTTTATATTCCTTCCTTTTACTTTCTACAGTCCTTTCAAATACAGTGGTACCTCGGGTCATGAACTTAATTCGTTCCGCGACTCTG